ATATATATATATATATATACACACACATACATACACACGATATAAGGTTATTTGATGTAATGTTTTTCAATACCACAGGAGGAACAAGAAAGGAATCATGTAGCTTCTAGCATCGAATGCTACATGAAGCAATATGGAGTCTCGGAGGAGCAAACACGTGAAAAATTCTCAATACAAGTCGAAGATTTGTGGAAAGTTATAAATCAAGAGTCACTCAGGCCTACTGCTATAGCGAGGCCTCTACTTATTCCTCCAATCAACCTAGCACGAGTTTGTGATGTTTTATATAAACGCCGTGACAATTACAATCATGTCGGAAAGGAAATAATCCATATTATTGAATCACTTCTGGAAATGCCTATGAGTGTCTAGGTTTAAGTTCCTAATGGAGTTTGTAGCGCAATTGTTATTCCAACTTGCAGTAGAAATAAATATGTTGACAATATTATATAAAATAAAAGGTAAGTAACTCTCTTATGAATAACATAGTTGTGTTTTTTTTTTTGGCAAAAAGACTTTTTATTTCATGCTTTGCGGCAAATCTATTTTCTTATTTGTAACAATGTAAATTTTCAAACAAAATTTTTCAATTTAAAAACACCTTTATCTCAAAAATAAAATCACAAAATGTCACAATGTCAAATTATCAAATCTCATATAAAAAACTGTTCATATATCAAGACTCCAGGATCCTCCAAATCATAACTCAAACGATGATGTGTGTGTACAATCAAGCTGGCGCATTCCCGTGATCCTTAGAAGTACCTAAACCACATAACACATAACACGGTAAGCACAAATCTTAATGAGTTCCCCAAAATACCACACACAGGTCATTAGCCACTCTAGGCTATAACTCAATAAGACCCTCCGGTCAATGTGTCTCAGTGGGACCTTCCGGTCCCAACTCGGTAAACTCATAATAACAATACTCATCATAAATCACAAAGACATAATGCAGAATATTAAGATACACAGGTAAGCACAATAAACATCTCAATCACACAAAGATACCACTCATGGTAAGTGTAGTAAGAAGACTTACCTCGTAAGCTAGCAAGTAAAAGTCTCGTACTCGGAAATCTCGAACTAGCCTCCGCCTAAAACATAGGATAATAATCTCTAATTAATACTCTACTCATACTCAAATACACCAAATGTTGTTCTATCTTTCTCTCTAACTCTTGGAATGGGTACAAGACCATTTTACGCCTCCATGGCCTCCATTACTCATGTTGACCAAACCCTAAAGTCAACAGAAGTCAACTCAAGTCAACAGTCCAAGTTTGACCTGACTCACCGAGTGCACTCATGTGACTCGTCGATTCCACTCGTTCCTCATAAGTCTTGTGAAGGTGTAGCTCGTCGAGTTAACCCCAACTCGCCGAGCTATCGCATGGTCCAACTTATCGGGACAAACCCTAACCGACTCGTCGAGTCAATTCATGGACTCGACGAGTCCCTTCGATCTGATTTCTCATTCAGACGATTTAAGGCAGATCTATCACTCCAATCACTAGATCTACCATCCTAAGGCTCGATTGTCACGTAAAGCTTCGATCTTTACGCTCATGCATGGTGGTTTTGCTCCAATCTACCAATACATGTTCTTATAAGGTGTTAAACACCATACTCCTCACATGGATGAATAAAGTTGGGACCTTTGGGCTATAGGGACCTCACAAGGTCCAGATCTGAGGTTTAAACCTCTAGATAACTTAGTATTCTCGAAATCCCAATAAAATGTGATGAAACCCTAACTTCTCAAACTCATGAGATCTAACCAAATAAAGGAGAAAGATTCAAGATTTTTACCTTCCTCTTGATGCTCTAGACGAAATGGCCTGAACCCCAACAACTCCTTCTTGTTCCTTGCTGAAAAAACTCCCCTTCCTCCTCAAAGATGCACTAAAAACCTTCAAGGTTAGCTTGGAGACTCTCTTAGCTCACTACACTTGTTTAGGGTTTCACACAGTAAGGTTAAGCAGCTGGTGAGCCGCAAATGAGGCTATAAGTGCCCTTAAAAGGCCCCAAACCCGGGGATTTAGGGTTTCTCTTCACATCGTCTACTCGACGAGTTGGCTCTTGGACTTGTCGAGTAGATCATTAATCCCACATGGCACATCGTGACTCTACTCGACGAGTTGTAGCACCGACTCGTCGAGTAGCTCAATAGTCCTCAAAATAAATAAATAAACAATATACCTGGAAGTCTGGATGTTACAATTCTCCCCCACTAGAACCAGACTTCGCCCTTGAAGTCATGTTCTGGAAATAACTCTGGATATTGCGCTCGCATCTCGGACTCTGGCTCCCAAGTCAACTCGGACCTGAACCAGAGGTACCTCTTTGTTCCTCAGAACCTTCACCTTTTGATCCATAATCGCAATCTGTCTCTCAATATTATTCAGGCTCACATCCACCTGAATGTCCTCTAGTGGCACCACTGTCGTCTCATCGGCTACACACTTCCTCAGCTGAGACACGTGGAAGGTGTTATGAATCTGACTCTACTCCGCAGGTAGCTCCAAATGATACGCTACCTTACCCACTCTGGCGGTCACCCTGAACGGACCGATGTATCTGGGCCCCAGCTTGCCCCTCTTCCTGACTCAGATCACCCCTTTCCATGGGGATACCCTCAGGAGGAAAAAATATCCAACCTAAAACTCAAGCTCGGATCGTCGCCTGTCTGCGTAACTCTTCTGGTGTCTCTGTGCCGTCAGTAACCTCTGTCTGACCTGCTGAATCTCCTCAGTCGTCTTGAGCACAATCTCAGTGCTACCCATCTCTCGCTGCCCCACCTCTCCCCAACATATAAGAGTCCGACACCTCCTCCCATAGAGAAGATGAAAAGGAGGCATCCCAATACTGGAATGGTGGCTGTTGTTGTAAGAAAACTCAGCCAGGGACAGATATGTGTCCCAACTCCCACCGAAGTCCATAACACAAGCTCGAATCATGTCCTCGAGCGTCTGAATCGTCCGCTCAATCTGCCCGTCTGTCTGTGGGTGGTAGGTTGTGCTGAAGTGCAATCGCGTACCCAACTCCTCATGAAACTTCTTCCAGTACCTGGAAGTAAAGCGCACATCCCGATCCGACACTATCGATATAGGCACTCCATGCCGAGCTACCACCTCTCCTACATATATCTCGGTCAGTCTCTCTGCAGAAGAACTCTCACTAATAGGAATGAAGTGAGCGCTCTTCGTCAACCGGTCCACAATCACCCAAATCGTGTCGACACCTCGCGCGGTCCTCGACAATTTGGTGATGAAATCCATGGAAATTGTTCCCACTTCCACTGGGGAGCCTCTAGTGGCTGCAACTTACCATGAGGATGCTGGTGCTCGGCCTTAACCCGACGACAGGTCAAGCACCTCTCGACTACCCAAGCCACATCCCTCTTCATACAGGGCCACCAATAATCTATGTTCAGGTCCATGTACATCTTAGTTGCTTCTGGATGGATCGAGAATCTTGATTTATGCGCCTCCTCCATCAGAATACGGCGAGCTCCGCCAGTATAGGGCACCCAAATCCGCCCTCGGAAAGTCATAAGCCCTCGACTATCCGTCGTAAACGCAGACACCTGCCCGATCACCCGCTCCCTCTTGCGGTTCGTCGGTCTCACGGCCTCCACCTGGGCCTCTCGAATGGTATCTAAGACTGGAGTCATCACTATCATCCTCATACACACATCTCGG